GGGATGGGATGGGATGGGATGGGATGGGATGGGATGGGGGATATTCAGGGGGATCCTTCCTCCTGATCTGATCTCATCTCCAGCAGAAATCCATGGGAATCAAACCCTAATTCCTGTGGATCCATCTGAGAGAAGGATGAGAATTGTCCATCCTCCCTCRCTCTGAGTGTTTGGGAAATGGATCCCAGTTGGAAAAATCCCAGTATTTGAAGCTCATCCCTCCCAAGAACTGCTCCAGACTCAGAAATTCCCACCCTCCCAGAAGGGAAAAGGGAGGCGCAAATTAATCGTTCCCTGGCTTTGGATCCAGATCCAAAGTGGGGCAGTTTGGACCCAAGCATCCTGAGGTGTGAGTTTGGGGTTATTGTGGGTAAAGGGGATCCAGAATTTCTCAGTGTTGGAGTGGGGGTTGGATTTCCCARGTGAGTTTCTTGCACCAGGGCTAAACTGGGAAAAAATCCCAGAGTGGATCTGGGAAAAATACATTTTTGTGCCGGGGTTGAACTGGGAAAAAATACCTTCTTGCACCAGGGTTAAACTGAGAAAAACTTCCTTGTGCAGCTCCAGCAGTTCAGTRTTATCTCCCTTTAATCACTCAATGATTTGGGGGAGAAATGAAATCAATAGAGATAAATCATAAATGGATTAAAATAATAAAATGGATAGAAATCATGAAAGAGATAAAAATAACAGAATATATATCAATAAATAAAACTTACAAAATTAATACAATATGTATAAATAAATACAATATATAGAAATAATGTAATATAAAAATAAATAAAATATGTGAAAACAATAAAATTAATAAAATATATGAAATAGATATATAAAAAAGAACATATCTAGAAATAAATAATATGTAAATTAGATTGCTCTAAATAATATGTGATGACAATTAAGTATAGATTAATAAATGAAATACATAAAAGAAAATTGATATAAAGAAATAAATATAATAATATAAATAATAAATACATATAAATACATTAAATAAGTATCAGAGGTAATAAATACATATAAATAAATAAAAAATATCCCTGGATCAGCCTGTGGCCATGAGGGATACAGAAGGAGYACCAAAACCTGGGTGTGGCCATTCCCAAATGGTTTCGGATCCTGGTTTATTCCCAACCCCTCCTGCCGCTGGAAGGTGTGGACAAGGCCCATCTAAAATGCTCATTTTTAATAAATATAAATCTGTAAATGACATTTCCCCCTGCTTTCCCTCTCTCTGCAAAGGAAGATCCACGATAGGGCCCCTGGAATGCTGCACTGGAGTTTCCCCTCCTTTTCCAATGGAGCTCTGAGTCCGGATTTGCTCCGTCCTAAACCCAGCCAGATGTTGGGAACCCCTGGGAAGGGGCAGAACCAGCCAGGTTCCCCCAAAACCCCGGCAGGGGTGGGAACACCGGCCCAAAAAATCCCAAAGGAGTCCTCCCGACCTTCCCGGATGAATAACTGCGGAATCGCAGCTGGAAAAGCAGCTTTAGGACCAGCCCGCAGTGAGTGGAACGGGCTGTGAGGAGTGTGGGGTCACGGCTTTGAAATCCCTGTCCCTCAGCATCCTCCATCCCAATCCCGCTCTCCGGGCAGCGCCTGAG